ATGGCACTACTGGCTTCTAGAGTGGATACTGGTAGGGTTGAGCATTTTACCACCTGACCGTCATTTTTTTTGGTGCCTTTCGCAGGACCAGCTCGACTTCCCGTTTGGGCTTTACTTGCATCTTTGCCTGCATTGGCAGTGCCTCCTTTACCTGCTACTCGGGTAACCGTGCGTGTGATGCCTCCTGTAGACGTCTTAATGGTCTTGATACGGACTTTAAGAGGTCTGGAAGGAGCATTTCCACCAGATACAGCTTTGCCACCACTGCTCGGTGATCCGGCGTCTGCTGGAAGGGATTGTGCAGTATTTACCTCCATTTTCTCTCCATCTCTTTTCCCGCCATCCTTACCATCTGTATTAGCCGCATCTTGTCCATTCTCCACTGATCCTTTGTCTACCTCCATCTCCTCTTCTTCCTCCTTAGGTTCTTGAATGGCAGCGGATGGTGATGAAGAGGCAACCACTGGGCTGCATGATCTTTTGGTAACTGCAGATGTTGGCATGGAGGACTTGGGGGTCTCAGGCTCAGGGCTCTCCGGTGAGTCTCGTTCTTCTATCACATGCTCTGGGTTTCGCTCTTCTTGGGGTAAACTCTTTCCGGTTCCTGTTTGGACTGGTGCGGAAAGCCAGTTCTGTTGAGCTCGCGGTGAAGCAGGTGACGCCAAGGGAATGTCACCTGGTTTGGGGTAAGTGCTGGGCGATATGGACGTTGAAGGAGGGAGAGAAGGAGACTGTGAATTTTCTGGAGGTGACCTCAGTCGACGTGATAGTTTCGGAGGTGTGGGAGAGTCCGGACTCTCGTGGATGACCAGAGATCCTCTGGAATCAGGATCTGAATCCTCCTCATCTGAATCTACACGTCTGAAAGACGACGAACTAAGACGTGGTGATCCGTTAAACGGCTCCGTTAGAGATGTAGCAAGCGGAGAAGATGCCACGGCCCCAGAAACACGGGAATCAACCGAGGGAGAGGATGATGACGGTGAGGAGGACGAAGCTGTGGAGGGAGTGGAAAGAAGTGGTTTAGGTGGGGGAAAGAAAGGAGATGCTGCTCCACTTGTCCCACTAGGAATCGCAGGGGCTTTTGCCTTGTCCGCACCTTCTAGGTTCATCTCCTGCTGAATATGTTGCTGTTGCAGAAGCTGCATTTTCCTGGTCCTTCCAACGGAGTCTCCAGCACCTTGTGCCATCAAGGGTTTCAGCTTATTGAAGATGTTGCTGCCCTGTTTGGAAGTGCTGGAAGATTCAAGTGCTCCTGCAGTCTCTGGAGTCGCCTTTGAGCTGCATATGGGCCACTGCTCCCCATTCGGCTGGCACCGGGACTGAGACATATGCACTGACCCACTGGACGACACAAATCCATTATGGTTTAGTGGATCTGGTACCGAGCTGTCGCTACCATCAAAGGGTTCAGGGCGAACACGGTTCTTCACAATCACGCTCACAATAGATGGGTCGCTCTGAGAATCTGTGGATGGGCTGGGTGATCTTAAGGCTGAACTTCCACCTACTGAAGCATCACCAGGCTTTATGAGCGATCCTCCGCCTGCTCCTTGATGCCCCTCCACCTCATCCGGGGTGGACTGGATAGCCTCTTTGGCATCAATGTCAGGAATGTCAAATGCTGCCAACAGGTCATCGAAATCGGGGGTTTTCATGTCCCCCATGCCGGGTCAGTGATCTCAATCCTAGAATACATACAAATAACATGTCAGAAAAAAGCATGTGATAACAATTGCAAATTAAGGGATAGTTCACCCAAAATTATTTACTCACCCTCATGTTGTTCCAAACCTGTATGACAAAAGAAGATATTTTATGAAATGTGTTTTTTGTCCATATAATGGAAGTCAATGGTCACCAAAACAGTTTGGTTGCCAACATTCTTCAAAATATCTTCTTTTCTTCATACAGGTTTGGAACGACATGAGAGTGAGTAAATGATGTGAACTATCTATATACTTTGGGTAAACTATCCCTTTTAAGTTGACATTACTTTCTATTTAAAAATGAAATTGAGACAGGACTCATCCCATTTATTGATCGATAATATCCTTTAATATTGTCTGTACACATCATGGTGTGATTTAATTGGATATTTAATGCAGGGAGTAATGTATTATAAACATATATTTTTTAAAATCTCACAGCATCTGTTTCCATAAGGTACGTTTAATACATATAAAATGTATTTTTATTTATTTATTTTCACAAGCACAGTTAGTTAACAAATCAAGTACTCGAGCTATCAGTTTTTAACCATAACAGAAACTGCTTCGTGCTGAGGTACCTATGAGGTGAAACTGACTAAATCATTTTAGCCGCATGTATCCTGCTATTTCTCTTTTCTTTTACTTCTGCAACAAAACATATACACAAATGTATATCGCAACACCAAATTACACCGAACGGCTTTTGTTAGCTTTGGCTAACAGCCACATAATGTCTCTGTATCAACTTGGCATTGGTGACTGAACTGCAATGCATTTTAACGTATGCAATATGAAAAAGCAATCATTTAAACATATATATGGTAATATTATGATCCAGCATTCAATTTCTGCCTAACAATGGATCACTTAAAGGTAACAGAGCCTGTTTAGCACGCTAAAGCTGCTATGGTATCACCACGAAAATCCAAACAAGCCCTCTAATATGAAATAAGACATTGATAATCGACAAATAAAGAAATATATTGATACAGTAACAACTGGGCACATGTTACAGAGATCAATTTAATATATATGACAAATACAATGGTCTGAGAACGGCTAAAACCTGCAGCTGACCTGGCTAACTATTACAAATGGGGATCGCTAATCGTACGATTAAAGGGCTTCTGTCACATGTTGTCCCTTAGATGTGTCTTTAGTGTTGCTAGACTGATAAATAAAGAGCTGGTGGGTTGATAAGCAGATATGTGAGGTGTATTTTTGGTTTTGTTCTGTCATGACGGCGGGGTCCGTGCTGCCCCGTCGCGAGGGTCATTTAAGCGCAGGCCACTGCATGTGCACGGCAACATTTACCTGTTTATAAATAACCTTACGTGGATGCCACATTATGCCTTTTTGATCATGCATTTTATGTACGTGTGTATTATTTTACAGATTGTATATTTTCATGCACAGGGAATTTTTTTGTTTTCCTGTTTTTTTTTTTTTTTTTTTGAGATTCCCGACTATCCTCGCTCCAGATGAAGCGCCTTAACTTCCCGTCATCGATCGAGTACGGCCAGGTCTTGGCAGATAACGATAATAATAACGGACAGGAAAATTATTTTCCGTCTTCCTTGGTTATATTGTTATGTTTGCATGTATAGGTCTGGTGATATTTTAGCATTTTATTTTAAACTCAAGAAAAAAAACATGACCACTGTCATTGTATTTTATGGATGCATAGTTGTTGTTTATTTACATCCTTCCAGGATCTCATATTTCAGTCTTTAGGTTTATTTGGTTTAGGCCGGTTTATTGCGGATTTATTATTTTTTTTACATACCCCAAAGCCCAGAATATTGTTTATTATATTATCGTATACTATATGTATTGCAAAGTATTATTGCACAGTTGCATCCACAAAAATACAGACAACTCAGATAAATCAATAATTAAATCAATAGATTGGGTACCAATATGAAAGTGAATTATTATATACTGTACATCACTGTCAAATTGTTAATCATTATTGTGAATCTTTGGGCTCCTGCGTAGATAGACAGATACAAGTGCATTTAGTACAAAATAAAAATATTTATTTCGTATATCACCAGTTTCTTGTTATTTTAAGAGGAGAAATATCTTAAAATATATGGTCAAATAATAAGACACTGATTATTATTGACAAGCTCAGGACCAATTGAATTGAAATGTGCAGAAAGCAGAAACAAACGCCATTCAAATTCACTTGAAAAGCAATACAATAATATAAAATTGATCTCGTCTGATATTTTCATAGACTAGGTTTTAGTGCCCTCTAGAGCTCAGTGACGACGTGCACAACTGAGTGTTTACTGGCACGGCCAGCACTATTCGTATTAATTTATGATATTTTCATTTGTTTGTCGTTATTACAACGGTGCAAAAGAAATAGTAAATGCAATTCAATACAATATCTCAAATAAATCTAAATTTAGGGTATACAAAAAATAAAGTGTTAAGCCTTTCATTCAGAATCAGCTCACTGAACCTTGCGATGAGCTGCGCAGGAAAATTAGTTTGTTCGCCTCTTAATCCTGCAGATTTTAACGTCATGAACAATGCTCTTTGAACACCAATAACATATATAATGAACATAAACGTAATCGGTCATAATAACGAATCAAAAACGTTCATAAAAAAAGCATAAAAGGAAAGGGGAAAAAGGAAAACAAGAAAAGAAATCAAAAAACGAGAGAAAAGGACAATACATACATTTAACTTAAAAAGAGGAAGTTAAGCCTTTGTAAATGTCCACAGTTCTTTAAAGAGAAAACTGGAAGTGACCATAGGGACTTTTATTTGCGAAACGTAACAAAAGAAATAGTAAATGCAATTCAATACAATATCTCAAATAAATCTAAATTTAAGGTATACAAAAAATAAAGTGTTAAGCCTTTCATTCAGAATCAGCTCACTGAACCTTGCGATGAGCTGCGCAGGAAAATTAATTTGTTCGCCTCTTAATCCTGCAGATTTTAACGTCATGAACAATGCTCTTTGAACACCAATAACATATATAATGAACATAAACGTAATCGGTCATAATAACGAATCAAAAACGTTCATAAAAAAAGCATAAAAGGAAAGGGGAAAAAGGAAAACAAGAAAAGAAATCAAAAAACGAGAGAAAAGGACAATACATACATTTAACTTAAAAAGAGGAAGTTAAGCCTTTGTAAATGTCCACAGTTCTTTAAAGAGAAAAGTGGAAGTGACCATAGGGACTTTTATTTGCGAAACGTAACAGGGTGACGTTTTTAGGGACGTCATCACGTCTTGTCCAATCAGAAAGCACTTGTGAAGATTCGAATGTTTATGGGCGGGCTTCGAACTCGCTGAGAGGGACGCTCAAGCGCCAGGAAAACGTAAACAGTGGTTGTTTTTGCAGATTGCGTTTGGGAAAAATAGTTTTCACACTCAAACAAAAGTACTATTTGATTAAGTAATCACCACAATTATTACATTTACAAGAAAGAAACAGTAAGTATCATGCATGAATATACTAATCCAGAATAAACGTTGAATTTCCTTAATCGCTCGTTAGCTAGAGTGGCTAACGTTAGCCAGCATTGGAGGGAACAATCTGAAACCTGTATTAATAAAATCCCTCTGCATTTATTGAGAAGTAAATCTGATATCTACCATTGTTCTTTATTTACGTCAGAACAAGTATAAATTTACTATACATAAACGATGTAAATGAATGTTTATGATATATCAGTTATTTCATATGTTTTTCATCCAGAACAACAACACGCTATGTCCCACAAGCAGATTTATTACTCTGACAAATATGACGACGACAAATTCGAGTACAGGTAGGCAAATATTCAACCCATCTGTACAGTTTACAATTAATGTTTTCAGTTTTTATGTTTTGGAGTCCCTGAGACCGTAGTGCTACATGTACAAATAACAATAATGTTACGTTGCTTAATAATCTGTTGTATCAAAAAATGAAATGAAGCCAAGTTTCCATTTAGTTCACATTCAGTTTTCATAAGTTTAGAAAAAGTAGAAACATGATACTTTCGTATATTTTCTGAGCTGTTAAAATGACGTCATCTACAGATATTTATAATGAGAGTTTTGTTTTCCATTCATTTTCAGGCATGTCATGCTTCCTAAGGACATTGCTAAAAGAGTTCCCAAGACCCATCTGATGTCAGAGACAGAATGGAGGAATCTGGGTGTTCAGCAGAGTCAAGGATGGGTACATTACATGATCCATCAGCCCGGTATGTGTGTGTTTGCTAGGATGTTAAAAACTCGCCCAAATATGTGCCATCTCTACTGTTGTCACCGTTGTTGATATACATGTTCTTGATTTCTTTTCTTTATAGAACCGCATATCTTGCTCTTCCGACGTCCTCTGCCTCAATCCCAGTGACTCCAGAACCACAAACTAATGGAATTCTGAAAACTGGACCCAATCTGAAGATGTCTGAGTCTGAGAGATGCTGGGTGCACCCGAGATCAGTTGGTGTCAGTATCATTTGTGCTGCTTTTGACTTATGTTTATTGACTATTCTGTGGGTCAGATTATCATCACTGTGCTTGATCTCTGCCTTAACTGAGATAGAACTGTGCGCAATTTCTTACTGCACCTGTATATATTATTATTCCTTATCAAGTTACAACGATTCTGTATATGAGCTTCACTTGATGAATTTTTGCATTGGTGAATTGACTCCGAAAGGTCTAGCAGCATTGGAAATTGCTTTACAAAGTACACTTATTAAAAATAAATACTTCATTTTTCTCCCTTTAAAGTATTAACAATGCTGTTTGTACCAATATCCGTGTCACCAGTACTAGTAAGCAGCTGAACCTGTTTTCTCAAAAATGTTTTAAAAAAGCCTCTCACAATAATATGTATAATACTGTACTTATGTACAATAAAACTGTTTCAGCTTATCACTTTGGCTTCAACACCAGACCGTGACTAGATAGAAAGCAAGAAGATTTACTTCTTTGCATTTATCTCAATGCTAATGAAGTTGCATACATTAATGAGTGCTTTAAATTTACTAGACACACACAGAAAGGCACAGCCATTGTAACTTGAATGTGCGAGGCATCTCTTCCAGTTAATTTTAGTTGTACAGAACAGCTTATGTTGCTTGATATTGCAAACTGGTGTTTATATTATTTTAGTGTATTGTCATAATACCTAATGCATTACTTATAACAGCTTGTGAATCTTAAGTTTTGCACATTCACAGAAAATTGCTGACTTCTGTGTTGCAAAATAAGGTGAATATACTTCCAAGTGGTAGTTCAAAGCTCCATCGTGAGTGATTTTTTTTTTTTAAACCTTAAAAAAGGCTTATGCTTTGTAATGCATGGATGGAATGGTCAGTAAGTGTGGGATTGCTTGTAATGTTCTTAATTTGTAAGTCAGTTTGGAAAAAGACATCTAAATGCAGGACCGGTTCTAGACATTTGGAGGCCCCCCACCCCCAATAAAAAGCACTTGAAACAAATATGATTCCTAACCTTTTTATTTATACAACATTTAATTTTAAATTTATTTATACAGTACCAGTCAAAAGTTTGGACACATTACTATTTTTTAAAAATGTTTTTGAAAGAAGTCTCATGCTTATCAAGTCTGGATTTATGTAATCAAAAATACAGGGGGGAAAAAAAGCTAATATTGTGAAATATTACAATTGAAAATAATGGATTTATATTTTACTACACTTTAAAATATAATCTATTTCTGTGATGCAAAGCTGAATTTTCATCAGTCATTACTCCAGTCTTCAGTGTCGCATGATCATTCAGAAATTCTAATTTGCTGATTTATTATCAATGTTAGAAACGGTTGTGCTGCTTAATATTTATTTTAAAACCTGTGATACTTTTTTAAGGATTTTTTGATGATTAAAAAGTTGTTTAAAAAAAAACAGATCTTTTTTTAAACAATATAAGTCTTTACTACCACTTTTTATCAATTTAACACATTACCTTTTTTCTGTATTTTTGGTCAAATAAATGCAGGCTTGATGAGCATGGGCAGAATTTCCCCCTCCTATTCAATCAATACTGACTACAGATATAGTCATATTATTAATATTAATAATATGATATTATGTATTGCATTGTTACCTTAAAGGGGTCATATGATGTTGCTAAAAAGAACATTATTTTGTGTATTGTTTATGCGGTTTAAGGTTCAAAAAACATTATTTTCCACATACTGTACATTATTGTTTCTCCTCTATGCCCCTCCTCTATGACTTATACTGTCTTTTTACGCGTTGCGTTGCATCGCGCCGTGTAAACATAAAACCATGTCTGCATCTGTGATCGGAGAAATGACAAACAACAAGCGCTACTCTACACTGCTCAAAACACGCGTTTGAATCATCAGTGGCAAATTCTTTAAATCTGAAAACGTACTTACAGTCTGTGAGTCAGAACAGCCGTCATTGTAGTCTACTCTACCAGGATCAGGAAACAGTCCTCCATAAAATGCGCTGGACACATCTGAATATTTGGGTTGAACTGTTCTGGAACAGTGTTGTAAATACAACTTAACCACTGATTTCTAGTCGTGTCCTCTTTTGGAAGACCAAACAAAGTAGTTTCGCTTTCGCAACGAAACACACAGCGTCTCCACAACATGGCGGCAGCGGTGGCAGCAACAAGTTACACCATCTTTGTTTGCGTGAACATTTGGGCGGCGTTATGCAAATCTTCCCACATCTTGACGTAGACATGTGGGGGCGTGTTTAAATGAGGTGTTTTAGGAGGGCGTGGACGAGTCTTAACTTTTATAAAGAATATCTCTTTGGGTTTGAGACTTTAGTCTTTGCAACTTTAGGGATCTTATCTATTAACGAACAGCTTGTAACACTCCAAAGAGAAGGGAAAACTTGAAATCGCATCATATGACCCCTTTAAATATGCACTATATACACTGAAAGTGTAAACAATCATCTACGAATACATGCCTATCATGGCATTCCTATATGAGGTCTATTCAGTATTATTCAGGAGCTATATCAGTTGCTCAGAAGCAAATTACCCCTCTCCATCCCCAACTCCTCTTGTCACAGTCAAGACTTGGCTTTCTGATATTCCTTGTTACCTGAATCAGACTCCTTTTATCTTGAATAATGTTGTCACACTAAAATGTCATTAAGAACATTAATGATATATGCTACATTTGGTTCTGTTCTGTTAACCCTAAGGGGGTTATTGCTGCTCTTCCCTCTCATTCATGACAAGCTGCATGGATGGGCAGGGAGTTTTTACCCAGAACAGAACCATACCGCCACTCCAAACTGTATGCTAAGTGTCAATCATTTGGTCCTGACAGAAATGTATTAAGGTTCTTGAAAATAAGACAGCTATGTTTTTAATGTACTTTCCATGTGTTGCTATAAAACAGTTATAATAAAAACAACAAATCAGTATACAATTTGTGTATCATGCAACCCTAAAATAAAACCCAAAGTTCAAAATTTTATGAAAATTAATCTTCCACCAAATAAACATAGAAAAAAATAATAACACAAATACATCTTAATAAAAAATATTTGTTGTAAAACTAAAGAAAACATTGACTGAAAATGTGTTACACAATTGTTATGCTTCTTTCGTGATTTGTGCTGTTTCTCTTGGGCTTCTTATTGTTTGTTGAGCATCAGTCAGACAGTTGGTCTAGAAGTCTCTCCAGCTGTTCGATCTCTCTGGAGACATCTAGAAAAGATACGTAACAAGATATTACATGAGGCAATGACTGAAATTAAGCAGTCAATACTTGACATTGCAAAAGGTTGTTTATTTGAACTTTTCGGTGGTGACATTTTTACCCATCCGTGTCTTTTTGCCGGTTTGTGATTGTGAGCGTTCTATTGCTTCCTGTAGTTCATGTTCAAGAGCACTCTTTATGTCCAGCTTTACAAAGAAACGAGAAGATTCCATTTGACTTTAGTCATTGTACAGCTGAATACATGATCTTCTTAATGAATGTGAGATCAGTACCTTTAAGTTATTAAACCTTTTTAGCACTTCCATTTTTGCTTTGTTGAACATGTCTTGTTTTACATTATCGACTGTGGATATTAACAGATCTTGCTTTATCTTCATGGATCCTGTTCCTGTCACAGCTGCAGCTTCTAAAATAAACAACACTCAATGTTCATTCATTTTCTTTCTCACAGAGACACCTCAGAGCAAGGAAATAAATCAATTCTTGGATGTGCGTTTTATGAATTAAATGTATTTTCTGACATGCTGAGTGGCTTTTCTTTTATGCAGTAAATAATTTACATGAAAATAATTTGTGATTATTTGTAACTCTTAATGCTAGCTTACGCTGATAGCAAGAAGCCATTTGATTCAAAATGGTTATTTTTATTGATGAGTAGATGTCCATCTTCATGTCAACAATGTCTCTGTTGAGCACTGCCTTCAGTTTGGTTTCCTTTCAAAAGGGGAAAAACACAAAAAAGTCAGATAAATCTAGAAACATTAAGTCCCTGCTTATTCCAGTCCTACATTAAAAGTTTGTTTGGTGTATTTCAGTGATTACCGGTTTATAAAAACAGCCTGCTTAATTATAAGGAATGAGGATTCACATGTGGCGCTTTTCTACTGTGTGGCTCAGCACGGCTCGCTTTACTTTGGCTCGGTTTGCTTTTACACTGCAGTTTAGCACCGCTTCAAAGTGGGTGGGATTATACACTGATCGTTATAGTTGTGCCACCACCTCGTCTGACCACGATACAGCCATTTATTTTTTCAAGTAGCATGCAACGGTCGTTTAAAAAAGTTGTGTGAACAAATGATACTGCGGTGGCTGTTGCTGACTATTGAAATCTAGTGGGTTTGGTGTCTCGTGTCGCAAATCCAATGATGCTGGTAGTGTCGATTCTCTCTGACCGATCAGTGATCTGCAGTGTTTACACGTCACATTTTAGTATTGGTACGGCTCGCTTGGAACCTCAACTGAGGTGGTGCTAAAAAAAGTACCGGGTACTAAGTACTGTAGTGAAACCCGCCCAAAAGCGAGCCGTACCAGGCAGTGGAAAAGCACCAATAGACTTCAACAGAAGACAGACATGGAGGATCAGGGGCAGAGTGTGACCCATTAGTGTCCCCAAGAGGACAGCTGAACTCACCTCGATTTTGATGAAGTTATGAATGTAATGTAGTATGTCAGAGCTGGGGTAAGCAGAGTCACTCTGGATGATACTGAATTTATCAATCTGCTCCTGCACTGACTTCCCTGTTTTCCCAGTCACACTGTAGCCAAAAAAAAAAAAATCAATTTTGAGTTTATTTTAAAAACATTAGTTGAACAGAATATAGTTGTGATTCTTGATATATAATCTGAGAATTACTGGAAGGAAATAGTGATGGGAAAGGCCAAATTACCAAACACACAAAGTTTGCTTTATATTGCTATTGTTTAACATATGCTGCTGTCATATGACAAATTAACGAAAGATTCAGACCAGAAAGCACTTGGGAGGTGAGCAAATAATTTCTTTTTCCTTTACAGAGTGTATGCGGCTGGCCTAAATGACCCATCACTAGAAGGAAAACCAGTTCAAACCCACTCATATTTTGGGTCCTGCACGGATGTCATGTGCGACAAACATAAGGATGCTGCTCCCTTGACAAAACATTTGGCCTCAAATTAATTGAGCACACATTATCTGCCACAACAAAACTAAACCCAATCAGAATCTTCCTGGGCATCTGTCTCATTTCCTGGTTTGCTGCTCTACATGCAATCTACAGTTGGTCCATGTTTACAAGCTTTGCTCCAGTTTGTGCTCCAATGTAACGTTAATAATTTGTAAACAAAATGCCAACAATATAATTAACAACGTTATTTAAAAGTACTTAAACAATAAAAACTTAACTTGATCACGTTAATGCAGTAAAAATCAACAACAAGCATTGTACATAGTTTATTGCATTTTATTCTAAACTACACAAAGGGAGACTAGAAAAGGAATGATAAAACAGAACTTACGGAAAAATTTGACAGAAATCATCATCAATGAATTTCTGC